TTCAAACCTTAAACAAGCAAAAGAGTATATGAAAATAAGAGAATTATTTTGTATTGTATAGCATAAGAGGAGGTTTTCATTTTATTTTGATGGCTTACACTTGGGCTATTTGACCCAATATATTGTTTATAAATTATTGTGAGTTTATTACAATTTTCAAATTTGATCGAAATTTAGATTGATTAGGGTTAATTATCCAATAAATATCCAAATTATCCACTTGAAAAATAGGATTATTGAGATCACACAACACTTTAAATATTAATAAAAAGATTCAATAGCTGCATATAAAGCGAGTAGATCACTTGGAAAAAGGAAAAAATTGGGAGGGGATTTGAGTGGTTGCCAGACATCTGTAGGGAGAATTGTGGAGAATACGGGCTTGCTTGGTTAGATGGGCTTTTATTCGAAAGAAATTGGGGAATTGGTGATAGATAGATAGATAGGTAGATTAGTGGGTTTTTAAAGTGGATTGGAGGATTGGGTTTAAATGAAATAACTATTGAGCTTCAAAACACCAGTAATTGGGTATTTTTTAATGATTTAAGTGGTGTTGATTTTTTAATCATGTAAAGAAGATTAGTGGGTTTTTAGAGTGGATTGGAGGATTGGGTTTGAATGAAATAATTATTGAGCTTTAAAACACCTATATTTGGGTATTTTTTAATGATTTAAGCAGTGTTAATTTTTTAATTATGTGAAATGTGAAGATAAACTTTTTTAAAACTTTTTTAATTCCACTTTGTCAGGGAAAAAAAAGAAATAGAAATAGTAAGGGAATAATGAAAAAGTGTTTTTATAGAATGGATTACATATTAAATGTGCAATTTAACCTATAAATTTATTAAAATACTTTTAATAGAATAACATCACAAGTAATTTCATTAGAGATGTTTTAATAAATTTATAAGGTAAATTCCACTTTTAATGTTTAGTTTGTACTGTAATGAATCTCAAAGAATAAAAAAAAAAAGTAAGAAGAATAAAGAAAGTGTTGAGAAGTGGGAACCAAAACTCAGAGAAAGAGAACTATATTTGGCGGAAAATTATTTGTTCCAAAAACTAGCAACGTTAATGTTTGACCTTTTATAAAGAAAGCCAAAATAATTAAAGAGTCTTTTAATCCTCTCCGTTCATCACTTCCCTGCAATTTCTTGCAAGTTTCCTCGTTTACATTTGCTTGACCACATTTGTCAAGTAAATGTGGAAATTGACATGTAATAAATATGGTGCATGTATATGCCAATTTGTGATATAAGAATGGAAGAATTTCAAAGTAGAAACCAATTTCTAGACAATTTAAGTCCATGAATGAGATAGATAGTTATAGAAATTTCAAACTAGGAAAGTAGCATGGAAAGATCAAATGGATGGATAGGAATTTCTTTCCTAAATTCTTTGCAATTACTTATGGTTTCAATCCTCTCCGTTCATCACTTCCCTGCAATTGCTAGCAAGTTTCCTTGTTTACATTTGCTTGACCACATTTGTCAAGTAAATGTGGAAATTGACATGTAATAAATATGGTGCATGTATATGCCAATTTGTGATATAAGAGTGGAAGAATTTCAAAGTAGAAACCAATTTCTAGACAATTTAAGTCCATGAATGAGATAGATAGTTATAGAAATTTCAAACTAAGAAAGTAACGTGGAAAGATCAAATGGATGGATAGTAATTTCTTTCCTAAATTCTTTGCAATTACTTATGGTTTCTGAATTATATTTTTATGAAGAATAATCCTTGCAACCAAGGTCTAGTACTGATTGGTAAACTCATCACAATTAATTCAATTGCTTCCTTACTATTACTTCGCAAATTAGTTTGCTTTTACCTTTATATGTTACAGTATAAAATTAATAAACCATTTCACTTGAAGAGTCAACTTGCAAAGTTTAATTTTGTTATTTTAATCTTTCTTCCTTGCTTAGATTATAGATGAATAAATCCTAAACTTTTTTTAGTTTGTTCTCTTTACCATCACTATTTTAATTCTCATATCAATAAATATGAAAATTGACCTACAATAAATATGATGCATGTGTGTGCCAATCTTTAATATAAGAGTTGAAGAAATTTTAAAGTATGAATCAATTTTTTGACAAAATAGCAGTTCATGAATGAGATAGTAGTACAAATTTGATTTTATGTAATGTCTATGTAGCAAATTATTGATAGATTGTAATTTGTATATTATTAATATATCCTTTGTGAGCCTTTGTTAGAGAAATTATATTAAAAGGATAATAAATTCTGCTATCACATAAATAGTAAATATTTTTAAAATTTATTAATTTCATATTTACATTGATTGCTTATAGTGAAGTTGGATGTTTTAGTATATCATATCTTGATAAATTTTATTGTAAATTGTTATTTTGTTAATTAGTTTTAATTAAAAATCCTTCTCTTTTTATTTGTTTAAATAATTTTAGAATTAGTTATTTTTGTAATTAATTAATTATAATTTTTTTTAGATTTGACACTCTTATTATTTTTTTACTTTATTACTTGAATGACTAATACACTTATTAGTAAATTTTAGCACATCAATTTTTCTTGGAATAATGTACCATGAATCTTATCTATTCGTTTCTTGCAAAGTTCTAGTGAAATTGAAAATTAATATAAAGCACTCATATATATATATATATATATAT